AGAGCAGTTGTGCTTCAAGTGGGCTGTCACAGATTGAGGGGTCATAGTATAGTTATAGTATATCTAGTAGAGAGTTCTAGTCTATAAGATAAGTAGGCTATATATAATTATTTTTTAAAATCTGTATTAATAGCCTGTTTAAATCTACTATTAAAGTTAATCCCTGTCCCATTAAGACAACACATAAGCCTAAACAACAAACATTTAGATTAAAAACCATGTAATTGTAGCACTATGCATATGCGAATCTTCTTCTGGCTAGAATTTGCCAAAAAATAAATTTAAATTTAGGACCAGGTCCAGTCTCTAGTCTAGACTTAATTTTTTTTCTAATCTTAGATCAAGAGCTAGAAAAATGGTTTCTAATATTAGATCAAGGGCTAATCAAATGGAGGTGGCCATAAATAACTTTAAATAAGGATAGATTCGTGTCTTAAAATAAGTCAAAGTGGTGTATAAACTATTTTTTTTTTAAATCTGGTGCTATGTTATTAAAATAAATACGGTCAGGTCTATAAAATTCTGTTTGATTTTTGACAGGTGTAATTGATTAATATTTTTACTAATTAAACATAATTTTAAAAAGAACAAAAACAGTTTGGTTGTTGACATTTTATCACAGAAAATTGCAACAAAAAAGACAGAAACAAGTCATGTGGTTTAAAAAAGATGTATTTTAAAATTCAAAATGACTACGCTGGGCCGACTGAATACCTCCTATATGTATGTGTGCAAGCATTCTTTGCATATGACTTTCAACTTTTCAACATTGTGATAACTATTCAAGTGGTCAAAGTGGTTGCGCATCAGTGAGCTTGTTTTTCTACATGGGTTCCTTTCCTTTTAGCTCTGAGATTTTTTTTTAGTACTCAGTAAAAAAAAAAGCTGTTGTTGAACTTTAGAAAGGTTACAGGTTAGGTTAGGGTTACTATTAAAGATTGCCATTATAAGGCTTAGGGTTGCTATCAAGGATTATCATTTAGGCATGTATTTTAGGATAAGGGTTAGGGACAGTGTTTCTTTCAGACTTTTTCTCCAGAAGGCACCTGAATTTTTTGGGTGTCCGGGGTAATAGGGTAAATATACACATGCATAGTACATCAAAAACATTGCCATGAAGTATGAAGGGAGGTGACTTTTTCCCCCACTGCGCATGCCTAGTTTGTTCTGGCTAGAATCAGCCTTTAAAATTTTATTGCAAAGTTATAAGGGCAAATTACTATGGAGTGAGGTTTTCAGAAAATTAATCATATTTTTTGTTATAATTTAAAATGATATATCTAAGAACCTGTCAGTTTCTTATAAAAATCTGTGTTCAACTAGTTCAACATAATGGGATTGTGCAGATGATGAAAACTTTACTGCCTGTGAGTTTTTATGGTTTAGATTTGTGTGAAGTGTATTTAAAATGTGGTGACACCAGCCATACAAATGTATGAAGTATGGCTAATTGTGGTGATTGATCCTTCTAATATTTCTGTCTCATCTATCTCTGATTTTTATTTCTTTTGGTTACAATTTCTATTTGCTAGCTAGAGCTGTGAAGACTTTTATAATGAATGAACGATTAATGATTTTTTTTTCAACATGAAAATTTAATGGTCTGAATCCATTGATGACAGAATGAATGCTTAGATTGATGTCTTTGTGGTCTGAGTGTTGGGGGGTGGGAAAATCAGGGTAATTGTGGTTGAAAGGTTACAATTTGTATAGTAGTTAAAACAATCTTGACTAGATGCAAACAACTGGCCTCTTTATTCCCGTAACATGATCTGGGCAACACATCTGGTTGGCCATACTGGCTATTTGACACACCGTATGGCCTTGAGCAGTCCATTGGTAGAGCAGCCTTATGCACATTGCTTATCTGAGAAGCACATCATAAACAATGGGTGCACTTTATGCTAAGATCCTAATTTGTTTCTGTTCTGTGTTGATGGCTCATTCCACACTAGTTATAACCTTTTTAGATACCATTTTGTAAGCTTCAAACTTGCCTGTAACTGTTACAGGTTAGTCTCTTGTTAGAATCTCCCTACAGGTTAGTCTCTTGTTAGAATCTCCCTTCAGGTCTCTTGTTAGAATCTCCCTACAGGTCTCTTGTTAAAATCTCCCTACAGGTCTCTTGTTAGAATCTCCCTACAGGTTAGTCTCTTGTTAGAATCTCCCTACATGTTAGTCTCTTGTTAGAATCTCCCTACAGGTTAGTCTCTTGTTAGAATCTCCCTACATGTCTCTTGTTAGAATCTCCCTACAGGTTAGTCTCTTGTTAGAATCTCCCTACATGTTAGTCTCTTGTTAGAATCTCCCTACAAGTCTCTTGTTAGAATCTCCCTACAGGTTAGTCTCTTGTTAGAATCTCTCTTAAAATCTCCCTACAGGTTAGTCTCTTGTTAGAATCTCCCTACAGGTTAGTCTCTTGTTAGAATCTCCCTACATGTCTCTTGTTAGAATCTCCCTACAGGTTAGTCTCTTGTTAGAATCTCCCTACATGTTAGTCTCTTGTTAGAATCTCCCTACAAGTCTCTTGTTAGAATCTCCCTACAGGTTAGTCTCTTGTTAGAATCTCTCTTAAAATCTCCCTACAGGTTAGTCTCTTGTTAGAATCTCCCTACAGGTTAGTCTCTTGTTAAAATCTCCCTACAGGTTAGTCTCTTGTTAAAATCTCCCTACAGGTTAGTCTCTTGTTAGAATCTCTCTTAAAATCTCCCTACAGGTTAGTCTCTTGTTAGAATCTCCCTACAGGTTAGTCTCTTGTTAGAATCTCCCTACAGGTTAGTCTCTTGTTAAAATCTCCCTACAGGTTAGTCTCTTGTTAGAATCTCTCTTAAAATCTCCCTACAGGTTAGTCTCTTGTTAGAATCTCCCTACAGGTTAGTCTCTTGTTAAAATCTCCCTACATGTCTCTTGTGAGAATCTCCCTACAGGTTAGTCTCTTGTGAGAATCTCCCTACAGGTCTCTTGTTAGAATCTCTCTTAAAATCTCCCTACAGGTTAGTCTCTTGTTAGAATCTCTCTTAAAATCTCCCTACAGGTTAGTCTCTTGTTAGAATCTCCCTACAGGTTAGTCTCTTGTTAAAATCTCCCTACATGTCTCTTGTGAGAATCTCCCTACAGGTTAGTCTCTTGTTAGAATCTCCCTACAGGTTAGTCTCTTGTTAAAATCTCCCTACATGTCTCTTGTGAGAATCTCCCTACAGGTTAGTCTCTTGTTAGAATCTCCCTACAGGTTAGTCTCTTGTTAGAATCTCTCTTAAAATCTCCCTACAGGTTAGTCTCTTGTTAGAATCTCCCTACAGGTTAGTCTCTTGTTAGAATCTCCCTACATGTCTCTTGTTAGAATCTCCCTACAGGTTAGTCTCTTGTTAGAATCTCCCTACATGTTAGTCTCTTGTTAGAATCTCCCTACAAGTCTCTTGTTAGAATCTCCCTACAGGTTAGTCTCTTGTTAGAATCTCTCTTAAAATCTCCCTACAGGTTAGTCTCTTGTTAGAATCTCCCTACAGGTTAGTCTCTTGTTAAAATCTCCCTACAGGTTAGTCTCTTGTTAAAATCTCCCTACAGGTTAGTCTCTTGTTAGAATCTCTCTTAAAATCTCCCTACAGGTTAGTCTCTTGTTAGAATCTCCCTACAGGTTAGTCTCTTGTTAGAATCTCCCTACAAGTTAGTCTCTTGTTAGAATCTCCCTACAGGTTAGTCTCTTGTTAGAATCTCCCTACAGGTTAGTCTCTTGTTAGAATCTCCCTACAGGTTAGTCTCTTGTTAGAATCTCCCTACATGTCTCTTGTTAGAATCTCCCTACAGGTTAGTCTCTTGTTAGAATCTCTCTAAAAATCTCACAACAGGCTAGTGATTGATCTACCTTAGCTATTCTTGTTGGAATCCCCTTTATCTGTTTGGATTATCCCAAGTATTTTCTCTTTTGTTTGCGTTTACCTTGATAAAAATCAGATGTTTAGGTAATAAAGGCCACACCCTTTCTTTCATTCTAAAATTACACGCCTAGGTTAGGCTGCTACATTGTCCAGACTTCTATTGAAACTATGTGTCATACCACCAGCCTACCCAATCTCTCAACTCAAACTTGCATTCATTCCCTTCTTGCTAGTCTACCTTTCAGCACATTTGATTTGGATTTCCTTCAGTGCATTCATACAATGTTTGGGTGTACAGTGCTCCGGGCTTTCTTAAAAGTCTTACAGCGTGTATGGCTAGGTATTACATTGGTATATTTTTCTCAGTCATTTTCTGTTTAAAATTACACAATAATTAACCCATAGTAAGGCAGTTAAAATTATCTTTTCTACAGTGTTTGACTATCTGCATACTAGGGCATATATCAACCTCATAACCTCAGCTGTTTCAAGAAAAATACTTGATTAAAAAGAATTGTAAATGAAAAGATAACTATTCTATTTGAGATAGGAATCTGTACACTAGTTATGTTGACCTTTGCATACAGTCAATTTTAAGTTTTAAAAAAATCAATAGCACCAGCTGGACTGAGCCCCTACCCCACATAACACCACTTGATCAAACTGTAAAAGCACACCTACCCCTCCTGTGAGTTATAGATGGGGATGATCTCTAGCATTGATTGGTGCACACAAGCATTAAGGTCCATCAGGTGTTGGTCTAGTCATGTGGCTCATTATACCAGTTGCTCCAGATACTTACAAATTAATCAATGCTCAGATACTTACATAACTAATAGTTATTTAATTTAACCAGTGCTCAGGTACTTACAGAACTAATAGTTTTTTTTAAATTAATTAGTGCTCAGATACTTGCAGAATTAATAGTTTTTTTTTTAATTAATCAATGCCCAGATACAGAACTAAAAGTTTTTTTTTATTAATCAATGCCCAAGAATCAATCTAATTTCAATGCATTTTGTTGTAAATATTAGCCTTGGTTTTACACAGGTAATTCTTGCTCACCTGCATAATGTTTACATGTGATAAAACACTGGGCTAGTATTATAAAGTTTTTTTCCCCAGAACTGACAGGGCCTAGTGACTCCACTATGAGGCAGTGGAAGATAGTGGCAGGACTGCTGGCCTTCTGGCTGTGCATCCTGCTCTACATGACCATCTCAGTGCCATCAGGCTCGGAGTCAGCCAGCCGCACAGAACGCAACTTTGCTAAAGCCCTGGACGAACTAGAGAAACTCAACCAGCAGAATAAGGAGATGCAGCAGTTGATAGCGCAGCTCAAGTGAGTGCTGGTTTATTTTATCATCAGTCCCAGCCAGTGCTAGTTTATTTTATAGGGATACAGTTAGGCTAGTTAACTGATAAAATATCATAGATTATTCAGCACTTTGCCATGTTCTATAGAATGCCTAGGGAAAATACAAACTAGGATTTACTTTGTACGCAGTCAGCCCATTTATAACATACCAGGTTTTTGCACTTGACCAGTATCTTAAAGTTGGGGAGGGGGGCATAATTTCTCAAGATTTTCTTATTCTGCAAGGAATACCCATACTATTTGAATGAATAGAAGTTGTTGTTTTTCTCTGTACTTAGTTTGCACCCATGTAAAAAAAAAAATTGCACTTTGTAGCAGAAATTTTTGACGTAAAATGTTATTGGCACCTGAATGTGAAAGACTTTTATTCAGGGAAAGTCAAGCTTTGAAGAGTCCAGACTTCAACAGTGAGGTGAAGGACCTACAAACACGTCTGGAGAAGGCCAATAGTGACATTGCTCAACTAGCCAGTAAGTTGGGGTTCAAGTCTCTACTTCACTTTCTTTCTTAGCCCTCTTAATTATTCTCTTCATTTGTACACACTTGGATGCTAATGTTCTCATGTGCATCAGACCTTTCAATAGGCTTGTAAGGGAGGGAATCAGGGGTTGAAGTAAGTTTTTCATCAAAGAAAAGTTGTTAGTAAGCTTAGTCCTTCAACTTAAAAAATTATGACATGGTTGGTATTTGTGTTGTGATGATGTCTAAAAAAAACTTTTATTAGCAGTTATCTTTGTTTATTAGCCAGGTTACTGTATTCTACTGAAAATCAATTATTTTTGTTAATGAGCAATGCTACTAATGTCATGGTTCTCGGATTAGCCTGGCATACCTCTATAGATAGGCTATTTCCACCAATTCTATTAACAGTACTTAGCAGTAATTAGCATTAAAACTTTTAAAAATAAATGTTTTAACTAACTATTTCTAACCTTTCTATTGTACAGATAAGACCTCCATTGGCCTGACCTATGTACACATTACCAACCTTTCTATTGTACAGATAAGACCTCCATTGGCCTGACCTATGTACACATTACCAACCTTTCTATTGTACAGATAAGACCTCCATTGGCCTGACCTATGTACACATTACCAACCTTTCTATTGTACAGATAAGACCTCCATTGGCCTGACCTATGTACACATTACCAACCTTTCTATTGTACAGATAAGACCTCCATTGGCCTGACCTATGTACACATTACCAACCTTTCTATTGTACAGATAAGACCTCCATTGGCCTGACCTATGTACACATTACCAACCTTTCTATTGTACAGATAAGCCCTCCATTGGCCTGACCTATGTACACATTACCAACCTTTCTATTGTACAGATAAGACCTCCATTGGCCTGACCTATGTCCACATTACCAACCTTTCTAATGTACAGATAAGCCCTCCATTGGCCTGACCTATGTACACATTACCAACCTTTCTATTGTACAGATAAGACCTCCATTGGCCTGACCTATGTACACATTACCAACCTTTCTATTGTACAGATAAGACCTCCATTGGCCTGACCTATGTACACATTACCAACCTTTCTATTGTACAGATAAGACCTCCATTTGCCTGACCTATGTACACATTACCAACCTTTCTATTGTACAGATAAGACCTCCATTTGCCTGACCTATGTACACATTACCAACCTTTCTATTGTACAGATAAGCCCTCCATTGGCCTGACCTATGTACACATTACCAACCTTTCTATTGTACAGATAAGCCCTCCATTGGCCTGACCTATGTACACATTACCAACCTTTCTATTGTACAGATAAGACCTCCATTGGCCTGACCTATGTACACATTACCAACCTTTCTAATGTACAGATAAGCCCTCCATTGGCCTGACCTATGTACACATTACCAACCTTTCTATTGTACAGATAAGCCCTCCATTGGCCTGACCTATGTCCACATTACCAACCTTTCTAATGTACAGATAAGACCTCCATTGGCCTGACCTATGTCCACATTACCAACCTTTCTATTGTACAGATAAGCCCTCCATTGGCCTGACCTATGTACACATTACCAACCTTTCTATTGTACAGATAAGACCTCCATTGGCCTGACCTATGTACACATTACCAACCTTTCTATTGTACAGATAAGCCCTCCATTGGCCTGACCTATGTCCACATTACCAACCTTTCTATTGTACAGATAAGACCTCCATTGGCCTGACCTATGTACATATTACCAACCTTTCTATTGTACAGATAAGCCCTCCATTGGCCTGACCTATGTACACATTACCAACCTTTCTAATGTACAGATAAGCCCTCCATTGGCCTGACCTATGTACACATTACCAACCTTTCTATTGTACAGATAAGCCCTCCATTTGCCTGACCTATGTACACATTACCAACCTTTCTAATGTACAGATAAGCCCTCCATTGGCCTGACCTATGTACACATTACCAACCTTTCTATTGTACAGATAAGCCCTCCATTGGCCTGACCTATGTACACATTACCAACCTTTCTATTGTACAGATAAGACCTCCATTGGCCTGACCTATGTACACATTACCAACCTTTCTAATGTACAGATAAGCCCTCCATTGGCCTGACCTATGTACACATTACCAACCTTTCTATTGTACAGATAAGACCTCCATTGGCCTGACCTATGTACACATTACTAACCTTTCTAATGTACAGATAAGCCCTCCATTGGCCTGACCTATGTCCACATTACCAACCTTTCTATTGTACAGATAAGACCTCCATTGGCCTGACCTATGTACACATTACCAACCTTTCTATTGTACAGATAAGACCTCCATTTGCCTGACCTATGTACACATTACCAACCTTTCTATTGTACAGATAAGCCCTCCATTGGCCTGACCTATGTACACATTACCAACCTTTCTATTGTACAGATAAGACCTCCATTGGCCTGACCTATGTACACATTACCAACCTTTCTATTGTACAGATAAGACCTCCATTGGCCTGACCTATGTACACATTACCAACCTTTCTATTGTACAGATAAGCCCTCCATTGGCCTGACCTATGTACACATTACCAACCTTTCTAATGTACAGATAAGCCCTCCATTGGCCTGACCTATGTACACATTACCAACCTTTCTATTGTACAGATAAGCCCTCCATTGGCCTGACCTATGTCCACATTACCAACCTTTCTATTGTACAGATAAGACCTCCATTGGCCTGACCTATGTCCACATTACCAACCTTTCTATTGTACAGATAAGACCTCCATTGGCCTGACCTATGTACACATTACCAACCTTTCTATTGTACAGATAAGCCCTCCATTGGCCTGACCTATGTACATATTACCAACCTTTCTATCCTACAGATAAGCCCTCCATTGGCCTGACCCTGGAGGAAGAACATGCCAGGAGAAAAGCTGAGAACACAGTCCAAGAGCTGTGGTACTTTTTAAACTCCCAGCTAAACAAGCTGGAGAAACACAGCTTAGAGGGAGGGTCACGGCTCTACAGCCTCAAGGCTGACCTGGAGGGCTACAGAAGGTGGGTACCATAGGGATGGGGCTACAGGAGGTGGGTACAATAGGGATGGGGCTACAGGAGGTGGGTACCATGGGGCTACAGGAGGTGGGTACAATAGGGATGGGGCTACAGGAGGTGGGTACCATGGGGCTACAGGAGGTGGGTACAATAGGGATGGGGTACAGAAGGTGGGTACCATAGGGATGGGGCTACAGGAGGTGGGTACAATAGGGATGGGGCTACAGAAGGTGGGTACCATGGGGCTACAGGAGGTGGGTACCATAGGGATGGGGCTACAGGAGGTGGGTACAATAGGGATGGGGCTACAGAAGGTGGGTACCATGGGGCTACAGGAGGTGGGTACAGTAGGGATGGGGTACAGAAGGTGGGTACCATAGGGATGGGGCTACAGGAGGTGGGTACAATAAGGGTGGGGTACAGAACGTGGGTACCATAGGGATGGGGCTACAGGAGGTGGGTACAATAAGGGTGGGGTACAGAAGGTGGGTACCATAGGGAAGGGGCTACAGGAGGTGGGTACCATAGGGATGGGGCTACAGAAGGTGGGTACCACAGGGATGGGGCTACAGGAGGTGGGTACCATAGGGATGGGGCTACAGTAGGTGGGTACCATAGGGATGGGGGCTACAGTAGGTGGGTACCATAGGGATGGGGGGGGCTACAGGAGGTGGGTACCATAGGGATGGGGGGGCTACAGGAGGTGGGTACCATAGGGATGGGGGGGCTACAGGAGGTGGGTAAAATTAGGGTGGGGTACATGAGGTAGGTACCAAAGGGATGGGGCTACAGGAGGTGGGGACAATAGGGATGGGGGGGGGCTACAGGAGGTGGGTACCATAGGGATGGGGCTACAGGAGGTGGGTACCATAGGGATGGGGGCTACAGGAGGTGGGTACCATAGGGATGGGGCTACAGGAGGTGGGTACCATAGGGATGGGGCTACAGGAGGTGGGTACCATAGGGATGGGGGCTACAGGAGGTGGGTACCATAGGGATGAGGGCTACAGAAGGTGGGTACCATAGGGATGGGGCTACAGGAGGTGGGTACAATAGGGATGGGGCTACAGAAGGTGGGTACCAAGGGGCTACAGGAGGTGGGTACTACAAGGATGAGGGCTACAGGAGGTGGGTACAATAGGGATGGGGTACAGAAGGTGGGTACCATAGGGATGGGGCTACAGGAGGTGGGTACAATAGGGATGGGGCTACAGAAGGTGGGTACCATAGGGATGGGGCTACAGGAGGTGGGTACAATAGGGATGGGGCTACAGAAGGTGGGTACCATAGGGATGGGGCTACAGGAGGTGGATACAATAAGGGTGGGGTACAGAAGGTGGGTACCATAGGGATGGGGCTACAGGAGGTGGGTAAAATAAGGGTGGGGTACATGAGGTAGGTACCATAGGGATGGGGCTACAGAAGGTGGGTACCACAGGGATGGGGGGCTACAGGAGGTGGGTACCACAGGGATGGGGGGGCTACAGGAGGTGGGTACCATAGGGATGGGGGGGGCTACAGGAGGTGGGTACCATAGGGATGGGGGGGGCTACAGGAGGTGGGTACCATAGGGATGGGGGGGGGCTACAGGAGGTGGGTACCATAGGGATGGGGCTATAGGAGGTGGGTACAATAGGGATGGGGCTACAGGAGGTGGGTACCACAGGGATGGGGGGGCTACAGGAGGTGGGTACCATAGGGATGGGGGGGGCTACAGGAGGTGGGTACCACAGGGATGGGGGGGGCTACAGGAGGTGGGTACCATAGGGATGGGGGGGCTACAGGAGGTGGGTACCATAGGGATGGGGCTACAGAAGGTGGGTACCATGTGGCTACAAGAGGTGGGTACCATAGGGATGGGGCTACAGGAGGTGGGTACCATGGGGCTACAGGAGGTGGGTACCATAGGGATGGGGCTACAGGAGGTGGGTACCATAGGGATGGGGCTACAGGAGGTGGGTACAATAGGGATGGGGCTACAGGAGGTGGGTACCACAGGGATGGGGCTACAGGAGGTGGGTACCACAGGGATGAGGGCTACAGAAGGTGGGTACAATAAGGGTGGGGTACAGAAGGTGGGTACCATAGGATGGGGCTACAGGAGGTGGGTACCATGTGGCTTCAAGAGGTGGGTACCATAGGGATGGGGCTACAGGAGGTGGGTACCATGGGGCTACAGGAGGTGGGTACCATAGGGATGGGGCTACAGGAGGTGGGTACCATAGGGATGGGGCTACAGGAGGTGGGTACCATAGGATGGGGCTACAGGAGGTTGGTACCATAGGGATGGGGCTACAGGAGGTGGGTACCATAGGGATGGGGCTACAGGAGGTGGGTACCATGTGGCTACAAGAGGTGGGTACCATTGGGATGGGGCTACATGAGGTGGGTACCATGGGGCTACAGGAGGTGGGTACCATAGGGATGGGGCTACAGGAGGTGGGTACCATAGGGATGGGGCTACAGGAGGTGGGTACAATAGGGATGGGGCTACAGGAGGTGGGTGCCACAGGGATGGGGCTACAGGAGGTGGGTACCACAGGGATGAGGGCTACAGAAGGTGGGTACCATAGGGATGGGGCTACAGGAGGTGGGTACAATAGGGATGGGGCTACAGAAGGTGGGTACCATAGGGATGGGGCTACAGAAGGTGGGTACCACAGGGATGGGGCTACAGGAGGTGGGTACTACAAGGATGAGGGCTACAGAAGGTGGGTACCACAGGGATGGGGCTACAGGAGGTGGGTACCATAGGGATGGGGCTACAGAAGGTGGGTACTATAGGGATGGGGCAACAAAAGGTGGGTACCATAGGGGCACCTACAGGTGGTGGGTACCACAGGGACACATATAAAAGGTGGGTACCACAGGGACACATATAAAAGGTGGGTACCACAGCGATGACTGCTACAGAAGGTGGGTACCACAGTGACAGCTGATTGTTCACTCTGTGGCATTTGACAATAATTACTTCTTAGGGGAATGTGTAGATCAAATGTTAAATGTCATATAATAAAATATGAGTTAGGGAATGTGTAATTCAAATGTTATAGACCTGAGTATTTCTTATCACCAGAACCATGCTGGATGACTTTGAAAAGATACGAAGAGCCAACAATGCAGATCAATGGCGACTGAACCAGTCCAAAGAGTTAGGGGACCTAGTACAGCGGAGGTTTCATTATTTACAGGTACGTGTGGGGTGGGACCGTTTGACTGACTGGTTTGTGTCTGGTCAGTTTGACCAGTCAACATGCTCTATAAATAGATTTTGTTTAATCAGTCTTTAAGATCACTATTTTAAACCAAACATTTTTTCTCTTAGATCAGCATTGACAGTGAAGGGAAAAATAAAACTACTTGGTTTGTGTGTGTAGTTTTTTTTTCTTTTAGTTTTAAAGTTTGTTCTGCTTTGAGATGTTTCTTGTTTTTTTTTTTTTTTTTTTATGTTCTGGTTTTGCAGAGTTAATTAATTATTAAAACATCATTAATTTTCAAAATAATAATGAAGAAAATATATGCTTTCAGTATAAGTTAATATGGCAGATGAAGCAATTCAAGGAAAAACAACTACGTTTGACAAAGGCAAAATTATAAAGATACTCGTACATATTTCTGCTTACTTTCTGTAGGAATCATTTGAGTAATTTCATGCTAGCCGATTTCTTTGACTGATCTTGTTTCTATTAGTGCTAGGTTAGCTTTATTTCATGAATCATCTACTAATCATTTAATCTTGCTTACAAACTTATTTCAGTGTATCATTTAGTTAGTAAGATTTTTATAACATAATAGGTAAATATAAAATAAAATTACATTTTGCTATAAACCTTAACTTATATAAACACAAAACTGGTTTTAATGACAGATATGATTAAGTTTTAACTTATATTTTATTTTAACTACAATTTGATTCCATAACTAAGTTCTTTTTTTGGTCTTCCAATGTGGAACTTGGAATAAATAGAACTCCAGGAAACTCCATGGAGTTTTCCTTGTGTTCAAGCGCTAACTGCAGACCATTGTTTCCTACTGCCACAGAACCCAGTCAACTGTAAAGCCGCCAAGAAACTGGTGTGCAATCTGCACAAAGGCTGCGGCTTTGGCTGCCAGCTGCACCACATCACCTACTGCCTGATTGCTGCCTACGCCATGGAGAGGACGCTCATCCTGGACTCTAAGGGCTGGAGGTACTCGTCTAAAGGCTGGGAGAGTGTCTTCCAGCCTCTCAGCACCACTTGCATGGATGTTGGCGGGGGTACACGCACTCACTGGGGCTGTAAGTCTGGCTTAGCTTTGCTCTATATGTCATCAGTCATCTTCACTTGCCTGTAGATGTCATCTTTCATGTCCCTGTAGATATCAGTCATGTCTCTGTAGTTATCAGTCATGTTCCTATAGATGTCATCAGTCATGTCTCTGTAGTTATCAGTCATGTTCCTATAGATGTCATCAGTCATGTCTCTGTAGATGTCATCAGTCATGTTCCTGTAGATGTCATCAGTCATGTCTCTGTAGTTATCAGTCATGTTCCTGTAGTTATCAGTCATGTTCCTGTAGTTATCAGTCATGTTCCTGTAGATGTCATCAGTCATGTTCCTGTAGATGTCATCAGTCATGTTCCTGTAGATGTCATCAGTCATGTCTCTGTAGTTATCAGTCATGTTCCTATAGATGTCATCAGTCATGTCTCTGTAGATGTCATCAGTCATGTTCCTGCAGATGTCATCAGTCATGTTCCTGTAGTTATCAGTCATGTTCCTGTAGATGTCATCAGTCATGTTCCTATAGATGTCATCAGTCATGTCTCTGTAGATGTCATTAGTCATGTTCCTGTAGATGTCATCAGTCATGTTCCTGTAGTTATCAGTCATGTCCCTGTAGATGTCATCAGTCATGTCTCTGTAGATGTCATCAGTCATGTTCCTGTAGATGTCATCAGTCATGTCTCTGTAGATGTCATCAGTCATGTCTGTGTAGATGTCATCAGTCATGTTCCTGTAGATGTCATCAGTCATGTATCTGTACACGTCATCAGCCATGTCTGTGTAGATGTCATCAGTCATGTTCCTGTAGATGTCATCAGTCATGTTTCTGTACATGTCATCAGTCATTTCTCTGTAGATGTCATCAGTCATGTCTGTGTAGATGTCATCAGTCATGTCTGTGTGGATGTCATCAGTCATGTCTGTGTAGATGTCATCAGTCATGTCTCTGTCGATGTCATCAGTCATATAGTGTCATGCTTTAGTTCTGACTTGTCATGTGTCATGTAAATATTGATTGTCAGGAGAACTTGGAAAGTGATGCATGGTTATAGGAAAATCTGGCTAAAATATTTGGTCATGACATCATCTTACTAAAATATTTGGTTATAAGATAATCTTGCTAAAATGATGCTGGGCCATAGAATAATCTTGTTAAAATGGTGTTTGGTTGTAGGTTAATCTTGCTTAAATAATGTTTGGTTCAAGGATAATATTGCTTAAATATTTGGTGATATTTGCCAAAATGATGTTTGGTTGTTGTATAATGTTGCTTCAATGATGTTTGGGTGTAGGATAATCTTGCTTAAATGTTTGGTCATAACTTGCTTAAATGTTTGGTCGGAAGATAATCTTGCTAAAATGTTTGATTATAGGATAAACTTGCTTAAATGTTACATATGAAATGTCCATATTGTATAACCACTCTGACTCCCAGCATCAAGAACAGAGATGGACAAATACCAGGTGATTGAGCTGCCTATAGTAGACAGTCTCCACCCCCGTCCAGAGTTCATGCCCCTGGCAGTGCCAGAGGACATCGGCAAAGAGCTGGAGGTGTTCCACGGAGATCCGGCTGTCTGGTGGATTGGTCAGGTCATCCAGTACCTCTTCCGGATGAGACCAGAGGTGGAGAAGGATATCATTGGTGCCGGCCAAAAGATGGGCTTTAAAAATACTGTTGTTGGGTGAGTCTATTTACATTGTGGTTGGGTGAGTCCATTTACATTGTGGTTGGGTGAGTCTATTTACATTGTGGTTGGGTGAGTCTATTTACATTGTGCTTGGGTGAGTCCATTTACATTGTGCTTGGGTGAGTCCATTTACATTGTGCTAGGGTGAGTCCATTTACATTGTGGTTGGGTGAGTCCATTTACATTGTGGTTGGGTGAGTCTATTTACATTGTGCTTGGGTGAGTCCATTTACATTGTGGTTGGGTGAGTCCATTTACATTGTGCTAGGGTGAGTCCATTTACATTGTGGTTGGGTGAGTCCATTTACATTGTGCTAGGGTGAGCCCATTTACTATAAATATATATATTTGAGCTCTATTAGATGAGCTCTATTAGCCCCTTCAAGGGGTCGGCGTGGTCGAGTCGGTAAAGCTCATGGTTGCTAAACCGAAAAGTCTCGAGTTCGAACCCTCGGGCAGATGAGGCTCGTTAGCTGGGGACAGCCACTCTTCTAGGAGAGACAACTCCAAAATTAAACAACTGCTGCCTTGTAGTTTGTTCTTGGTTGGACAAATTTATTCATTCAAATTTATTCAAATTTATTCAAACAAAGGCCTTTTTTCACATTGGCCGTTTAAACAAATAAAGCAATTCAATAACACATAGACAAAGGCTATGGAAGCAAATCCAAAAAGAAAAGCAGGCTGAAATCGGAGTCAATAGCCTCAATGGCACATAACCAGTTGACACGTAACACTTAATTGTGTTGGAGGCGTGGTCGAGTCGGCAAAAAGCTCATAATTGATAAATTCGAACTAAAGTCTCGAGTTCAAACCCACTGGCAGATAAATCTCGATCCCCTTCAACACTAATAATTAAGAACGAAGAAGAAGAAAGAAGAAGCCCCTTCAAACACCCAGCCAGTGGTCAGGTTGGTTAAGCTCATGGTTGCTGAAGTCAAGAGTTCAAACCCCCAGGCAGATGAGGCTTGTTAGCTGGGGACAGCCACTCATCTAGGAGAGACAACTCCAAAATCAAACAACTGCTGCCTTGTAGTTCGTTCTTGGTTGGAAATCCTATAAGAAAAGCAGGCTCAAATCGGAGTCAATGGCCTATTTGGTGCATAAGAAGTTGACATGTATACTTAATTGTGTTTAAGGGAATCTCTTCCAACACTAAAATTAACGAAGAAGAAGTGGTGATAAAGAGTATTTATAAGCTTGTATTTAAAAGTTCCGTGATGTTATCTCTAGGGTGCATGTAAGAAGAACTGACAAGATCAACCTTGAAGCCGCCTACCACTCAATAGAGGAGTACATGGAGCACGTGGAAGAATATTACCAGCAGCTAGAGAGGACAAGACCAAACATTGACAGACAAGTCTACCTGGCTTCTGATGATCCTTCAGTGCTGGCTGATGCTAAGCAAAAGTAAATTCTCTCTCATTTGCAGTTATCTCCCTTTAATACATGTACTAGAATAGTTTTGCCTGATACTGTTTATATATTTGCCATCATCTTTTATTACTGTAATTTTTTTCTCTTGGTAACGACATGTTTTCAGATATCCAAACTACAAGTTTATCAGTGACAACTCCATATCCCAATCAGCTGGCCTGGGCACTCGTTACTCTGACAGTTCGTTAAGGGGAATCATAATTGACATTTATTACCTGGCCCGCTGTGACTTCCTTGTCTGCACTTTCTCATCTCAGGTCAGTCAAGCTCATTTGGTTTAGTTTTGGTTTATTTGTTCATCTCAGGTCAGTCCAGCCTGTGGTTTTGTTTTGGTTTATTTGTTCATCTCAGGTCAGTCCTGCCTGTGGTTTGAATCACTTGTTTTTGTTTTGGTTTATTTGGCTCAATTAAGTCAATTTTATCTGGCCAGTACCATTGTTTCATTAGTTGGTTGTGCCAATCTCTCATGTAACTTTCACCTTCAGGTGTGCAGGGTGGCCTATGAAATCATGCAGACCCTCCATGGGGACGCCTCTAAGTACTTCAGGTCTCTGGACGATGTCTTCTATTATGGTGGACAGAGTGCTCATGACCTCAGGGCTGTAGAGGCTCATCCAGGAAATGATGATGGGGTCATGGAGCTTAAGGTAACTTTGGTGGGGTCATGGAGCTTAAGGTAACTGGTGGGGTCATGGAGCTTAAGGTAACTTTGGTGGGGTCATGGAGCTTAAGGTAACTTTGGTGGGGGCATGGAGCTTAAGGTAACTTTGGTGGGGGCATGGAGCTTAAGGTAACTTTGGTGGGGGCATGGAGCTTAAGGTAACTTTGGTGGGCTCAATGGATTTAATTACAATTTGATGGGGGCATGGAGCTTAAGGTAACTTTGGTGGGCTCAATGGATTTAATTACAATTTGATGGGGTCATGGAGCTTAAGTTAACTTTGGTGGGCTCAATGGATTTAATTACAATTTGATGGGGTCATGGAGCTGAAGGTAAATTTGGTGGGCTCATGGATGTAATTAAAATTTGGTGGGGGTCATTGGTCCTAGGTCCATCCCAGGGCTAAAATACTGGAATGCCATAGGTTCATGTTTATCCACTAACTTTTAGTTTTAGACATTAACCAGTTAGCTATATCAAATGACCATAAGTAAAACAACACAAACCCAGTCTTTTGATTGTAATTTGATGGGCTTTATACAAATACAATTTTTTATTTTAAAAATTGTGAATGATACCACTCAAATACTCATTAAAACTTTGCACAATAGTAAATATTCAAGTGCTGCTATTCATATCTCTTTTTGTTTTGGTAAAAAGTGTCCTATATATGTTTGTTTAAAATACTATGCTCAGAGCAGTTGTTTCTTGTATATAAGTTCAAGTTAAAAACACTTAGCTGTGAATAGCTGAAAGGGTTAGACATAATGGGATAAATTAATAAACTAAGCACATTCATTAATTAATTGGCCTGTACTAGATCATCTGTATAGATCAATAATGATGGCTCCCACATGTGGATGTCATATGTTTGTGGTTGTGCTCTGTTCAAGTACAAATTAATCCACTTGACTCCTGCTTAGCATTATTTTAAGGTTGGCATTTTAAATTAAAATTACAATAAATCAATACAAAATGACACAGAAAAATGTATACCTTCATATTGCTACATTCTCTGTAATGTTAGTTTTTTCTTATATAACCATCAATCCAGGGCTTAACGTCCAGTGAATACATGTCAAGGGGGGGGGGGGGGGGGGTTAGTGGTCCAGGGGGTTATTGTCCAGGAGCCCAGTGTAGTCTGGTGTGTTTAGATTTAATCTCAGCGTCTCAAGGAAGTCTTGTGTTCTCTCCCTTTAGCCAGGAGACGCCATAGGTATTGCAGGGAACCACTGGAACGGTTTCTCTAAGGGAGTGAACCGCAGGACTGACCAGTCAGCTCTGTTCCCCTCCTACAAGGCTGAGGACACAGTGGTCAAAGTCAAGATGCCCACCTACCCACAGGTCCCCAGGAAGGTCAGCTGACCATAAGACAACTGGTCAGCTGATGTAGGGAGCGCTGTGTGTTGTCTGGACGTGAAGCCAGCTCTATGCATGAGATCCATTTTTTTCATTTGCCTCAATGAGTTTTTGAACAGCTAACCATATTTATGCCACTCGGTGTTTCTATTTTGCTACTGACCTGATATTTGAGCCGACCATATCTATAACCAATGTATTGCCTGGTGTTGCCACATTCTGCTCAGACTTTTTGTAACAGAGCAAACATCAAAACAACTCAAAAATTGTTTATTTTTATAACTGCATTTTAGACCCAGTCTAGTTGGTGGTTAAATCCAGTCATATATTTATAAGTATTTGTCATATATTTATTTGTTATATATTTATTTGTCACGGATAATCTACTTGAAGCAGACAAGTATTTAAACTTGTTTAGACCTTTTTGTTTAGTCACAGTATTAATTATTTCTTCCTATTATAACGTCAGCCTGCTGAGGAATGTCTCGGAGTTTTTACTTCTGTGGCTCTGTCTGGCCTTTAGGGTATATTATATTGGCCACAGTTGAATAAACTGGCCATTTAGTCTCATGCCTTGGCCATACTGCAATAAACTGGCCATTGAGCCACAGATTCTTGGCCGTCCTGTATTATAGCTTACCTATTTATTTGTCATCTAAAACCTTTGGTGTGCGTGCATTTATTTAATTTTTCTAATTTAATTCTTTTTTCTCTTTGATTAATGTGATAAATTCTTGCTAAAAATTTTGCCTGATTTCTTTCAGTTGCTACCTGGAATAAAAAAAATGTATTGTCTTAAATTTTAAAAAAAATGGTTTTAGTTTTAGCCTGTCTGATGTTGATTTTGTACTGCTAGCTGAACTGTGTTACAACTCTAGTCAAAATATCACCTTGCTGTAGGCTACATGGGGTAGAGAGTTTTTGTTGTGGGTTTTCATCGGATGATCTATGGCTGTTACGGTCCCTTCATTGTGGAGTAGGTCTCTTCACTGTTTTAAAACACAAAAGCCAATGTACTTTACCTAATTACAGAAATATTATCAGTGGTGAGACTAGTTTTATGTCTACTCATAATTTATCAGTCTACAATATTTCAGGGCCTGAACTTTTTTCTAGATCACTGAAAAGCCTTTGTAGTTTTTAATCCATCAGTGTTGTAGTATGATAGTGTGGGGAGGGGAGGGGGGTCAAAGTAGTGATTTTATTTCTACAGACAAATGCTTTTAAAAATCCTTTTGTCACTTGTTTTTTGTTTGTTTGTTTTTTACATTTTTCATTATTGGTGGAGTGGTGACATTACTTTAGCCTTATACCCAGGGTTTTTAGAGAATTTTACGCAAATTAGTTTAAAATTTTACTCCTACTTTTTATGTTAAGTATTTAAATTGACTAAAATTTTATTTTTTAAGAATGCAATCAAAATTTTTAAAATGTTAAATTTAATTTGTCATGTAATATATATACTAGTTAATTCCAATTATTTTTTAACTAGCTGGTATATTACAGAATAGTATTACCTCACAGGTGTATTATGTTAATGTATTACCTAGCAAATGTATTATGTATTTGTATTACCTTGTTGGTATAATTTGCTACTACATAAATACACAGGTATGTTATGTAGATATATCACCTTTATGTTGATATATCAAACATATTTTAATATATCACCTAAATGTTTTGTTGATGTATCACCTATAGGTTAATGTAACATTATTATGTTGATGTACCACCTATGTATTGATGTATCACCAATATGTTGATGTCTCACCCACATTGGTGTATCACCTATATGTTGATATATTACCAATATGCTGATGTATCACCAATAAGTTGGCATGTGACCTGTATGTTAATGTATCACCTATATGCTGATGTATCACCAATAAGTTGATGTGTGACCTATATGTTGATATATCACTTATATGCTGATGTATCACCAATATGTTGATATTTGACATAACCACATACCAGTAGAGCTTGAATGATTGACTGTCCAGTTATACCCTTGTTTTTTACACCTGTTCTCTAACGAGCTGACCATGTACACTTATTAACCTCTAGTCAAGTTAGTGAGCTAGTCTCACTCGTCAACTTTTCAAAAGGCAATTTATCCCAAACTTTTATGAGTGCATTGGGACAGGATTTTATTTTACATTTCAACAATCAAATTATCCCAAACTTTTGTGGGTGCAATTGGGACAGGGTTTTTTTTTTTTACTGCTGGTAGTGCAGATATTTTTATGACTGCGGCCAGACACGTTGTTTTTATAGTCTACCCTTAAAACAAGATTATTTGACACTCTACTGTTTTGATATGACATGCAGAGATTTACAATACAAGTATTAATGGAGTGGACTTAATGTCCTATAGATTAGACACATTTGATATGACACACACAGATTTACAATACAAGTATTAATGGAGTGGACTTAATGTCCTATAGATTAGACACCTACTGCAGATTTGAGCGGCCAAGTATAGAGTTTGTTTTGTCCACTTTATTGAAGCGTTGTAGACTTTGTTTTGTCCACTTTATTGAAGCTTTGTAGACTTTGTTTTGTCCACATTATTGAAGCTTTGTAGAGTTTGTTTTGTCCACATTATTGAAGGCCATTGACCAGTCACATAGTGATGACCATGAACTAATGTTCTGTGATTTCTTGTAGCTTCTTATTTCTCTCTACCATTGTCCAGGGTAAAAAGCTTTCTATAGACAGTTGGAACAAGGGGGGGGGGGGGCTGTTATGCCTCATCATCACCCTCCCCCCCCCCATGTTAATTACCACACTGCCCAAAATCTGACCTTGGACATAACCATTGATGATTTCTAATAGATTAGGGGTACTCAACACCGTTTATATTTTACATTATTTTTTTATTAATGACAACTTTTTTATTGACGATGCAATATGAATGGCTATTATTTTTGTATTAGCTGTATACATGTTCAGAGGTTTAGGTGTTTACAACATGTACCAATGTAAAAATACATTTTCAATGTGTTTGGCTGTTCCATATCTGATTGTTTGCTGTGATACTTTGTGATTGGTCAGTTCATGAAGTTACCACCCAATCATATTTTAAAGTTTTGTTTGATCTCTAGTCATTGAAACTTGTACACTTATGCAACTTTTGTGTAGTCTCCCTTGTTGACTTGTCTGTGTACAGACAATATTGACATTGTCTCCCCTGTTCTGTCAGTTGTCTCCCCTGTTCTGTCAGTTGTCTCCCCTGTTCTGCCAGTTGTCTCCCCTGTTCTGTCAGTTGTCTCCCCTGTTTTGTCAATTGTCTCCCCTGTTCTGCCAGTTGTCTCCCCTGTTCTGTCAGTTGTCTCCCCTGTTCTGTCAGTTGTCTCCCCTGTTCTGTCAGTTGTCTCCCCTGTTCTGTCAGTTGTCTCCCCTGTTCTGTCAGTTGTCTCCCCTGTTCTGTCAGTTGTCTTCCCCTGTTCTGTCAGTTGTCTCCCCTGTTCTGTCAGTTGTCTCCCCTGTTCTGTCAGTTGTCTCCCCTGTTTTGTCAATTGTCTCCCCTGTTCTGCCAGTTGTCTCCCCTGTTCTGTCAGTTGTCTCCCTTGTTCTGTCAGTTGTCTCCCCTGTTCTGTCAGTTGTCTCCCCCTGTTCTGTCAGTTGTCTCCCCTGTTCTGTCAGTTGTCTCCCCTGGTCTGTCAGTTGTCTCCCCTGTTTTTTTAATTTATTTTTTTTTCCCAGGCTCTAGAATTTCTGTATTAAATCTTTAAGAACAAGTGGACATGGTAGAAAGACTATTTTAGTGATTGTGTTTGTGTCTGGTTCAAACTAGCCAAGAGTGTAGTGTGTTATGTTTCACAATGTTTGATTCAACTTTACAGATTGAGACATGAATAAACCACATTTTTCTTGTCAAGTTGTTTTTTATTTATTTAACAGACATTGATACTGTAGTGTCAATCTACAAGGCTACTTGGTGTTCCAGAGATTTCACTTTATGGTGAGGAGACATAAGTGTCACAATAAGAAGATAATATAAACATAATAATATATAAATCTATGCCTGATAAAGATACTTCTAATCCTCTCGCCAAACACCACCAAAACTGAGGCATTATGGGAGCTGACAAACCTATTGGCAGCTGAAGAAACGATCCTCAAAGAGAAAAATACCGAAGAACGGGTCATACACACATGAAATCCACAGGGCTAAGGGAAAGAGGAAGACCTGGAGAAGGACCTTGAAGAAAGCACCAAGAAGATTAGATATACCTGGGGACAGTTGGAGAGACTAGCCCAGGACAAAGATGCCTGGTGTGGGTCGGTTTTCTATGGTATAGTGGAGGGAGAGGGTTCAGTTTCCTGTGAATGTAAACGGCGATAAGGTTCGCGTTATCAACATGTTAGTAGGTTAGGACTTTTAGGGTCATGACATTATCTGGCCACTTCCGGCATTGTTTAACGACTCGAAAATGGGGGACGGGGGACAATATAATTTCACGTGGAAACTTAACGTGGAGGGGGGATGAGGAAGTTGACTTTATAACAGTTTACTGGGTATGGGATCAACATAAGTTGACTTCATTACGTAGGTCAACGTGTCGCTTATACAGCACAGGGTAGCAACCTGTGAAGGGGAGAGCTGGGTTGATCACATGTTGGTCCAACAACCTGTGGGGAGGGGGGAGAGTTGGGTTGGTCACGGGTTGGTCTCGCAGCATGTGGTATAAAGACGGTCTATGACGTAGAGAGGTGGGTTGGTCTCGGTGGTTGGCGTTGACCCTTAAGTAATAAGTAATTAATGACGAACCAATTAATAATCTCAATCAGCTATTAATGTCATACCTGCCTGCCAGTCCCGTCGTGTGTGTGTGTTTATGTTCGTATGTATATTTTCGTGTATTTATGTTCGTGTTTCTATCTGCTTGTCCCACGCCTGTCGCCAGTTGTAGTCATCAGAATAGAATGATCGATACAACCCATGCCGACAGTTCTAGTCATCAGAATAGAATGATCGATACAACCCATGCCGACAGTTCTAGTCATCAGAATAGAATGATCGATACAACCCATGCCGACAGTTCTAGTCATCAGAATAGAATGATCGATACAACCCATGCCGATAGACAGTTCTAGTCATCAGAATAGAATGATCGATACAACCCATGCCGACAGTTCTAGTCATCAGAATAGAATGATCGATAAAACCCATGCCGATAGACAGTTCTAGTCATCAGAATAGAATGATCGATACAACCCATGCCGACAGTTCTAGTCATCAGAATAGAATGATCGATACAACCCATGCCGATAGACAGTTCTAGTCATCAGAATAGAATGATCGATACAACCCATGCCGACAGTTCTAGTCATCAGAATAGAATGATCGATAAAACCCATGCCGATAGACAGTTCTAGTCATCAGAATAGAATGATCGATACAACCCATGCCGACAGTTCTAGTCATCAGAATAGAATGATCGATAAAACCCATGCCGATAGACAGTTCTAGTCATCAGAATAGAATGATCGATACAACCCATGCCGACAGTTCTAGTCATCAGAATAGAATGATCGATAGAACCCATGCCGATAGACAGTATCGATACAACCCATGCCGATAGACAGTATCGATACAACCCATGCCGATAGACAGTTCTAGTCATCAGAATAGAATGATCGATACAACCCATGCCGATAGACAGTATCGA